CCATAACAAATTGTATCATATCGGCTATCATAGTAGTATAGTATTGCGGTAATTTAAGTATTTAGTATACTGTATACGGTTATCTACTCAGGTTAGGGATCGGCGTATACTCCGTAGCGAGTTTTGACCCGCTTGGCGTGAATGCGAACTATAACAGCACTGCCTGTCACGGGACCACTGTCGACTAATAAGGAAATTAATATATTAGTGATCATGGCTAAATAGTCTATTCAGTGTCGTTAGTGATCAGAAAAACATGTTGATAATACAATTATAATTATTATGTATTTTTTATTGTAACGATTTTTTTTTTATTAAAATTAATATTACATATCTATGTAGTATGTATATTGTTTAGTTATTTCATATAATATAATATTAACTATCATGGACAAGTGCTGAGTTGATTATTGTACTTTGGGTTACAAGAGCAATACAAAAATAATTTTTAAATTTTCTGCTTTAAAGTATATTAGCTTAAGAAAAAAATAGGCAAAGTCTATTCCACAGTATTACGTCGTCAATAATATATTAATTAGCTAATTAGTATGTTTTAATCAGGGCTGGCGTTACAAATTTTATTGCAGCGCCCCATGCAAAATAATATAAAATAATATTTTGTTGTATTATACCTGTATGGCTGTATAAATTATAATATTCATATATTATATAATATTTATATAATGCATTTATGAAATATTTTAAAAGTGAGACTACACTGTCACTGTGGATATATTGTTTTTATGTTTAAATGCTGCACTTGAACATTTTCAATGGGATAATAGTGTAAATGTCCTATCTATATAGACAAAGAGTGACTGAACGTAACTTTTGGACGAAGTTTAATACCCGAAAAAGTATCTATAGACACAATAATTAACATTATTGTAAAACAGATATATCAGATAATTAGCTTAACTCAGAATCTAAAAATAAGTATAGAGATTTAAGAGTGGATTTGTAAAAGACACCTATAATTAAGAGCACTATATAGCAGTAACTTATTAACTTATTATACGTATATTTAAATTTGTCAAAAGTCAAAACTTATGTAAATTTGACCAATCTAAACATTCTAAACATAGATTTCGTTTATTTTAATATTTTTAAATTCTGTATCATAAAATAAATCATGTGCGGGGGACTGCAGTTGATGAAAAAATTGTGGTTTTTAGACCAAAAATCCAGACAAAACTGAAGAACATGGTTTGATGGATTTTAATTTTTAAAACTGATTTTCATTGATTACCAAGTTTACTATGCGATTTTGTATATCTATTTTTTTAGCTGTGATATCCATGAATAAAAATATAATATTTTTGTATTTATATTAACACATTAATACGCATTATGATTTATGACACTAAAAATAATTGGAATATTAAAAATCGCCTCTATGGAAACCTAGTAAATACTTGTTAATCAATCATAACAATTTTTCAAAATTAAAATCCGTCAAACCAAATTCTTCTAATTTTGTCTGGATTTTTGGTCTAAAAGTCACTTTTTTTTCATCGACTGGAGCTCCTTTGATGTATAAATTATGAACAAAAAAATTATTTAAAAATATAGTTCTTAATAACAATAATAAGAAGAAGAACAGTAAATTTAGTTTAGGTTTGGTCAGATAAATCTCACATATTTAACTCCATTAATGATATAGAAACATAAAAAAAAAAATGATATTTAACTATATTGCCAAAATACTCTAAATTGTTGTGGATGGTTTAATAAGTTTTAATATGTTTTAATACGTTTGTGGTTTTATTGTTAGTAATTTTCTGAATAAGTAATTATTTTAAATACTAATATATATATAATATATTATATGTAGCTATAAGACTATACATTTGATGTTTTTTGTTTTATATCTTTCACAGCACAATTTGTATATTCATTGCATGTATAATTACTAAATAGTAAATACGTTAGTTCATAATATTGTTTTTATTCTTATTTATTATTATCTCCGATTGAAAAAACGCTAAAAGTAGATGGATAAAATAAACCACAAAATGTGTAGAAGAATGTTGTATAAGTAATAAGTATGTATTCTACCATTTCGGTTTTAAATTTAAAAAAAAATAAGAGTAGACTTTTGTCACATCATTAATTATAGTTTAAATAATGAATAATGGTGATTTCAAGATGTTCAATACTTATAACTTAGTAGTTAGTACCTAAGTAGGTACTTATTAAAGCTAATCTCAATAAAATGTATTTCACTTTTTATTTATTTTTTATTTAGCACAACAAATTACCTTTATATTGTTATAAAATAATTTACCTGAAATACCAGAGAAACTTAACATTATCCTACCAAGAAAATATCTGTTTTCTTACATTAATTGATACTATTATCTAATCCTAATACTAAAATGGGCCTTATAAAGAGTTAATCTAAAAAAACAAAAGAATAAAATATTGAGATATTAGAACTCTAGAGTCTAGAGTACAAGACACACATCCATACATGAAGATTATAAGCTTGTAAAAGAAATAAATAAGACTTATTTCAAGCTGATTTTAAGTCAAATAGTACTGTCCAAATGTATACTGATAAGACAATGAGATAAAAAAAAGCCATTTATTTGTATTATATAAAGATAAATTACTTTTTTTATACACTCTTTTTACCGACGCAACTTTTGAACCTTTGAAATTTTAAACTTACTATTATAGGCACCTACTTACCCAATCAGCTTAATAAATATAAATTGTTCTTAATTGTTTGTAATAAATTAGTGTAGTGATAAACATGTATAAAGAACTCACGTGATCAAAGCCAAATCGAAACCGTATTAATACTTTATTTTAATTAGTTTAAAAATTACAATTTTATTAAAATGATATCTAAAAAGGTGCTCTGCTGTACAGTAGGCTACAAGTGGGTCACTGTATAATGGATGGTATTAAATTTTAACTCAATGATATAATATCATTGTATAAGAAAAACGATTCTGAGCGGAGACGGTATGTCAATCTAGGTTTAAGACATATTATATACAAATCAATGGTAATAAAAAAAATATGAACAGTCTTATAATTGAGCATACTTCTTATTCCTTATACTATGGTATGGATAGGCCATAATATTTTGATTTTTTTGATTTTTCAGTATTTATCCACTAGTAATATTTTTAAATTACAACAAAAAACGAAAATCGTTAATATTGATTTTAATAAGTAATTTCATCCAAATTTTAACTTAAAATGACTATAAAAATAAACTGTGCTTGGGTATTTTTTAGATTTTTTGGTAACAGAATTAACTACTTACATGGAATCTTGTTGTAAAATGTCAACCCTCAGATATAAAAGTTAAACATTTTATAAATTTTTAACTACAAAATAATTATTAAATTTTGTCAAAATTCGATCTTTAAATGATTATAAAAAAAAATTGTGCCTATGTATTTTTAATATTTTTCAACTGATATTGTAAAAATATATTAGGAGCCTTGTATTAAAATTTTCCACTTTTTTTCATAACAGATAAAACATTATTGATATTTATAGAAAAAAAAACTAAAAAATTTGAAAACTGTAAATGTCCGCAAACAGCTCAAAAAAAATCAAAATTGTATAGTATATAGGAAATGCTAATATAAACATTCAGTGAAATTTTCATGTATCTACAGTTATTCGTTTTTGAATTACATCAAAATAAAGAAATCGCTATATGAGAAAACGGGTGAATATCGAATGTTGTAAAAATTTGAATTTCAAACACTCATAAAAATTTAATTTGACTTTCTTATAGACATTTTTTTTTTTTTTGATAAAGGTAGATAATCTTATAAGAGATCTTGTATTCAATTTTAAAATCTTAGATTTACAAAGAACATTTTTACGAATTCTTAACTCAAAATAATTTGCTAATTTTCGTGATTTTTCCATATTTTGTCAATTTTTTAACTTAATATACTTATAAAAAAAAACTGTGACTAAGGTTTTTTAATATTTTTCATCTGCCTTTGAAACAATATACTAGGAGCTTTCTATTAAATTTTCAAATATTTTTACTCAACAAATAAAATTTTATTCATTTTCATATAAAAAAAAATTATAAAACTGGAAACTGAAAATATCCCTAAACATTTCAATATAAATCAAAATATTTTGAAAATGTTATCGTGTATAGAAAATCCAAATATAAACAACCAGTGAAAATGTTATGTATCTACGGTCATTTGTTTTAAAGTTACACCAAAAACAAAATTCGATTTTGTGTAAAAATTACCGTTTTTCCTTATTTTTTCTTTTGTTTTTCTTGGCGCTTTTAAAAATTACTGGGAATTTTAAATTTTGACCTCCCAATGTACCAACGGTATTAAATTTCCAATGGAACAAGATACTGAGGTTTAAAATCGAAGCATTACTTCGACTACTTATCGTGTACACAGAAACAAATAAAAAAAACACACATCATTGTAAAATCAATACATTCATCGTTCCACTCAGAATCTAAAAAATAATAAATGTAGACTTCTATATAAATCAGTTAATAATTAATAAAGTTACAGTGAACAAATGACAGAAGAACATAGTTTGTCGAAATGCAATGGAGTTATAATAACAATTTTATTAAAAATAACTGTGTTATATATAACGTTATTTATTTTTTTTTAAATTGTACCAATAAATTTTACTGTCGTTATCATATTTTATAAAAAACCTTATGAATACTTAAGGTTGGGTTTTTTTTAAATTGAAATAAAACCGGTGTTAAATTATTTTTATCCATATTTCGTTAGTAAAAAATAATGAAACTGAAAAAATTATTTGGTAACAAAAGTATAATTTTTTTTACAGTGCCAAAATATAAATATTGTTAAATTAAAAAAAAAAGATTAATAGACAATATAACCTACATATTACATTATTTTCTCCTAAATATTATTATTTTTTTCTAAACAATGCATGGTTTTGATAATTTGAAATATTTTCATTACAGTATGTCAGTATAATATAACAAACGCGCTAATTTGTAAACCATAATGAGCTTAAAAGAACTTACGTATAATGTGCGTTTTCGAGACATCGGCAGCGAAAACCTCGCACCTGTTTGCACGCGACATTCAACGCAGACTGGAACGGTCCTAACACGGGTAGCGCATCGACAGACGCACTCCCTCCGGTTCCCTCCGGCACCTGTGCGCCCTCGGATGCAACTAACGCACTTCGGTGGTCTCGTGCCCAGTGTATTGTATGACGTTCTGACCCTGACCGTACACACCAACATCGGACTGATGCTGGTTTTAAATAACGTCGACGACCCTAGTTCTGAAGACCTCATTATATAGGTGTTCCGAACTTACTCGGAAATCGAATGGGTTGCAAGTAAAAAAAAAAAGATAAATTAATAATAAATAATAATACCACCTAATATGATAAAAAAAAAGGTCTTCAACGGTATAGAAAATATAGGAAAATATGAAATTGATTTGACCTAGTTTGGAAGACGTTGCAAAATCTGCTTAGACGCTGATTTTTCTTAGATCATATTTTAGTACATATTTATATAGGTACTAAAATATTATTCATTTATAAATTATAAGTGATAATAAATAGTATTAAAATCATATAATTCACATCTTATTAGTTATTACACCTATAATAAGTAAAGTAACGATCAACAATGTTTAACAAATAAAATATCTAAAATGTGTGAATTTTTACTCATTTATTTCTTAGTTTTCTTCGTTTAAATAGTCAGTTTAAAATAATAAATTGTCAGTAATAACTTACAAATTTTAGATATAATATGTTCCCAAATGGTATTAAAAAGCAGATTAGAGATATTGTATATATTGTGTTTTTCTTTATTTTTGGTCCATTTAACAAGAAAATGGGTAACAGCTATAATTTATTGTGGTAAAGTGTGAACATTTTGGACTTTACGACACATGAGTTCAGAAGCGTGTTCAGGATAAAAATTCAGGACAGGCCCGGTTAAACGAAAAATGTGTACAATATACACATTTTTTTTAAGGAATTTAAAATTTTTTTTTTTAAATGGACCTACAGTCAATCATAATAATATTAACTAATAATTAATGTATTTTATATTATTAGTTTTTAATTTTTATCATAATGTAATATGGTTGTTGACTGTTCGAGGATATATATTTTTCATAGAAGCGCTTAAGGATATAACCTATAGATAGATTACAAGGCACAAAATATAATTGATATACCTATTATATCCATAAGGGTAACCGTAGTATGCCGGCCGGCCGATGTGTTTACATTTCACATCCAGATTTCAATGTTCAGCGTGTTAATATAAAAAATAAATATATAATTTCTTGTTTTTAATTTAATAATATTTCTTTTAAAATGCATATTTTGGTATATTATATTATAAGTGTTCAAAACCAGGGTGGGCCCTCTAATTTTATTATAGCCTCCAAGTCCTAAAGATATATTAGATGTAATAAAATTCAACGAGAAAATCACAAGCTCAGGATTCCCATTGGTTAAATACACAATTAATATATTTTTTATTAATATCCTATTTTATTTTTATTAAAATCAGTGTACACTTTTATTAAGGAGTGTCGTAAATGTGTACTACGTACGATACAATTAGTATATTTCAAAGTAAGGTTTTTTTTTTAAATGTAGGTATACTCGAATATGGAAAAAAACAAGTTTAATAAATACTATAATGATAAGTAAAATTAGTTTGAACCCGAACATATAGACATAATATGTTACTATATGATAGTAGTTAATTATAATATATTTTTTTATCTTAAATGGGTAAAAAAATTTTAAAAAAAACATAGATTTTAAATAACTATTTCCTAGGTTTTTACCTAGCGTTTGAAACTATAGACGAGGGAAAATCGGTCAATGAGTTTACTTACCCACAAACATACTAGGTTACAGAACATTAATGGATATGGCAATATTAAAATAAAAATAAAATCTGGTATACTTTGTTCTTCAGGCTTCTAGTGAAACGTTTATGTCCTTCTTTCCTAATTAAAAGACACGGATTCACGCGTGAATCTACTGTGGTTGTGTATCCGTTTTAATATACTGCTAAGATAGTCAATTCGGTTTTTCCTGAGTTTTCAGTTTAAATCACTTCGAAATCTCTGTCAACTATTATTCGCCTATAAAACTATAACATAATAATACATGTACACATACTTTCAACGGACTATTTTTTTTTACCAATATTATACTTTTAAAAATAATTAAAATGTTTGTTTGTATTACTCTGGAAAAAAATTCTGTGACGCTGCATAGGTATTATGTGAAAATCATATGTCAAGACAAAGTGTTCTGAAAACTATTACAGATATTATTATCTTTGTATAAGTCATGTGTTACACGGAAAAAATAACAAAATGTAAAACATATTCGAAGAATGATCAGCAATAGGTACCTAATATTGTGTGAACATGTTCTATATTTTATTAAATAGTTGTTAGTATTTCGATTATAGCCTGCTCGAAATAACTAACGCTCGTAGTCATTTTTGTACCTACACATAAAAAGACTTTGTTCCGCAACATCCGGGTAAGTTCCTAGAAAGCTAAACATAATAATAATATGGTGAAATAAATGTAACAAGGAATCTGTTAATATACAACTGAGTTATTCTTAATATTATTTGACATCTTATATTATCGAAGAGGTGAGACACAGGTATAATGTATATAGTAGGCCCGTGGTTCCAACATCCGTTACAATATTATTTATTGATAACATCTTGTGATTATAATATACCCAGCAGAGACTCCAGCACCGCAGCATTTTTTAACCGGGTGGATGACCCCCCCCCATGACCAATCAGTTTTAAGGAAGCACTGTCAGATACTGAGTTTTATACCTGATAAAAATATTCTTCAATCTTTAATATTATGGGGGTTTCTGGTAAAAATCGTAATCAGGAAAAACTAAACAAAATTTTCGAAAAATCAATAGAAATATTTTATAACAATGTGGTTTCTGTCAAAATCGATATTGTTTTTTGAATAACTATGGTAAGACTATATATTTTCAATTTGACAGAATATACTATAGGTATACATATCACCTAATGTAGGGCTCGGATTTCAAAGCATATGCTTCCTTTTTTATATGAGATACAAATTTAATTTTATTTAAATTCGTTTGATGTTATTTTGATTCCAAATAAACCAATTTAATTTTGTTTTTTTTATTGCTTTATTGCAATTATTCCAGCTGTGGCATTTTAATGTTTATTATCGTATAGTCTATAAGAGTAATACAAAAAATGTAATTAGTAAGAAATTTAAAACCCGGAATACCGACTAAATGATTATTGAATTATTATTGTTTTTGTTGAAAATACAGGAAAATACATGGAAGTTAATTCTTTTGGTTTCCAAGCAGAGCGATGAATGTATTGATTTTACAATGATGTGTGTTTTTTTATTTTTTGTGTACGTGTACACTATAAGTAATCGAAATAATGGTTCGATTTTCAACTTCAATCTTGTCCGATAGGAAAGTAAATCTAGTTGGTGTATCGGGAAGGTCCCAATTCCCATAGTGTTAAAAAGCACCGAGAAAAACAAAAGAAAAATTAAGGAAAAACGGGAATTTTTAAGCAAAATCTGTTTTCGAAAAAATTGATTTTGGTTTTTAGTACAACTCTTAAACAAATTACCTTAAGTACATGACATTTTGTATGAAAGTTTATATTAGCATTTTCTATACACCATAACATTGTCCAAATATTTTGAGCTGTTTACGGACATTTTCAGTTTCTGTTTGTTTTAGTTTTTTTCCATAAATATTCAATATCAATAAAATGTTATTTGTTGGTTAAAAAAGCTTGAAAATTTAATAGAGGGCTCCCTAGTATATTGTTTCAAAGGCAAATGTAAAAATGACGAAAATTTGCAAATTGTGTTGAGTTAGAAACTAATGAAAAGTGTTCTTTTTAAATCTAAGATTTTAAAATGTAATACAAGATTCCTCATAAGGTTGTCTACCTTTATCAAAAAAAAAAAATGTCTAGAAGAAAGTTAAATTAAATTTTGATGAGCGTTTTGTATTTATATTTTTACAACATTTGATATTCACTCGATTTCTCATGTAGCGATTTTCTTATTTTGTTGTAATTAAAAAACGAATGACTTTAGATACTTGAAAATTTCACTGAATGTTTATATTTTCATTTTCTATACACCATAAAATTTTATAAATCTTTTGACTCTTTTTGAGCTGTTTACGGACATTGTCAGTTTTAAATTTTTTTAGTTTTTATTTTCTATAAATATCAATAAAAATGTATTTGTTGGTTAAAAAAGCGTGAAAATTTAATGCAGATCTCCTGATATATTGTAACAATAGAAATTGAAAAACATTGAAAATACATATGCACAATTTTTTTCTATAATCATTCAAAGTTTGCATTTTGACAAAATGTATCAAATTTCAAATTTAATAATTATTTTTAGTTAAAAATGTATAAAATGTTCAACTTTTATAGCTAAAGATTAATTATTTAAAACAATTTTCCATGTAAATAGGTTATATATAAATTACCATATTCACAATAACAACATCAAATAGGCTGACTGACCGTCATCGCTCAGAATCGTTTTTCTTATACAATGATATTGAATTCAAATTCAACACCATCCATTAGAGTGACCCACTAGTAACCTACTGTACAGCAGATCGACATCCACTTGCCAACCTTTTTTTAGTTTTTTTTTCTATGAATGTCAATACAATTTTATTTGTTGGGTAAAAAACCTTTAAAAATACTTAATATAAGGCTCTTTATATCGTCACTTTAGGTGTTGAAAAATATTAAAATTATATAGGCACAACTTTTTTAATAAACATTTAAAGTTCAAATTTTCACAACATTTATTAAATTTTAGGTTGAATAATTATTTTGTAGTTAAAAATGTATAATATGTTCAAAAATGTTTATAGTTAAGGATTGAAAATTTATATTAAGTTTGCTTATTTAAGAATAAAATATATAATATTATATATGCTTTTTTAAATAATTGTATGCTTTTTAGTTTTTATGTTATTCATTGTGGCATCGTGTTTTAGAGTCCGAGTCCTACATATTAGTATTCTTTAGGATTTACTAATCCTAAGTGTATTTCAAAATATTTTGGCTTTTTTATACCTATATTGTTGATTGACATAGTATGAAACTCTTAACGTTTTTTGTAGTTTAATTAAATTCATGATTATACAATTTTGTAGTCTAAAAACATGACACAGAGTTTTTCATAAGTTATTTTTTCAGCAATTAAAAACAAAATTAACATACAGCCGCATTTTTTATATA